ATATCTCAAGTAATTAAATGGTATTGAAACATTTTGAAGATAGTGTCAGAAAGTGAACAAAGTTGCTATTTTTGAATCTTGGTGAGAACATTGGGGAGGATCAGTCCTGTATTGAACAGCGCTATAAGACATCTATAATATTCACCTGAATTGGCAGGAGAGGGAATTTGATGTCTTTTGAAATGGAAACAGCACCTTTGAAAATGCATTTCCCTTTCAGGTGTTAAACTGCTGCTCTAATTGCATTCCCCCGTCTGAATCAGAAGTTGTCATTTTGCGATTTGTGTAATTCATTTGGGTTGATAATCTTACATAATCAAGAAGGTCGGCTGAAATCCTGGATTTCAGTTTAGGGAAAATGTAAAGGACTTCACAGCTCTATGTGACACAGAACAAAACAGTTGTCCTTGGCCAACATCTGTCCATCAGTCAAAAAGATTAGATGATGATTTATTTCAGTTGTTGTTAGTGGAATCTGTGCTGTGCACAAATTAACCACTGTGTTTTCAAATGTAACACTCCAAAATACATATTTGGTGGTGAGGTACTTTGGCCTACCACATTTATGTGAAAATTCCTACATAAATGCCAGTTCTTTCTTTATTGAAATGTGGACAAGGTTTTGCAATGAGGTTGTGGAGTGAAGTTTAAAACAACCATTTGTTGACTCAGAGCTGAGAGTGTTCCCCATGTTTTAAAAAAATTGTTCTTGCAAAGTGAGTGATGGTGGCAAGCTACTGTCAACTGCTCATCTGTAAATGCCCAGAGGTTGTTAAAAGTTATCTACATAGTATGACAGGGTACATTCAATACCAGGTTCCATTTCCAGAACTACGTTAGTGAGCAAACATTTTTGAAAACCCAACAACATTCATCGTTGATTTTCTGGTGCTAAGAAAATTGAGCCAAATTAGCTGAATATCATCGTGGAAAATATAAGTTGCACTGGAACGGTTTATATTTACTCAATTCATGGGGGGTAGAAAACAATTTTGCATTTATTTTGTGTCTACATGTGGAGCCATCACAAGGATGGACTTTGTACCTGGTTGAAGACTATCCAACAGGTATTGTGTCTAGTGAGTGTGTTAAGAAACATGTCTTCCCATGTGTGTACCAGTTTATTTCTAATTTTAAGCTTACACTGCTGATAGCAGCAAAGGGAGAAAAAGAGCCAAATCAAGCACTGAGTACCTTTGGAGATGGAGAACTCAACCCAACAGATCAACAAGGGACCCAATGTTTAGGCATCCATGTTTGGGCATCTCAGAGACCTACTAAACTCTGGCCAGCTCTTTGCCTTGAAGAAGATGGTCCAGTTTCACTGCAGAGCATTAATTCAACACAGAAGACAGCAGTTAGGCGTGATCAGCCCAATTAGTTTGGCTACTTTTTGTCTCCAATAGGAAAGACCATTGCATACCATTGGCCATGACCCACCAAAGGCCAGGCTGCCCTTGACTAGTAACTTGTCACTGATTTAGTAGGTGCTTGGAGAGTCTGTGCTGAACAAGTGGATGAAGACCGTAGTACCAATCAAACAAGCAAAACAAACTGAAATGAAGAGATTAACTTTTGATTGACAAGCTGAAGTGCTAGCGCCATATGCACAGGATTGACAGATGACTTGTGATTGGTCAGTAATGTGTGTAAAACAGCTGCAATGAACGTGGAACTTGCTAGCTGAGTATTGACGAAGCTTTCCTGCACGATACCAGGTACACCAAAAGTGGGTTGTTGAAAAAGAAACAGTACACATTCATGTGTCAAGAGAAGAGTTTAGAGGAAAGGCATGAGCAAGATTATGCCTCACTGCGAGGGACTTACTCTTCTCAATGATAGACCCCAACCCTCATAAATGGTTTAGCACATTTTCTGTCCATCTGACTCTAAATTAAGCAGGGAAAGTTAATCTCATCAGTACCCCTGCTCCACCATAGAGGTGAAAAACCAGTTCTGTGAAGAGATTGACACTGCTTTCAGGAGAATCCCCAAGTTGGAGCACCTTTTCCCACTAGGGAATTTCAACACATGACTGTGGAGCATAACCCTGCTGCCTTGGACCTCATAGCCTGAGAAAGATAAATGAGAACACAGAGATAACAAGATGTAGAGTTGGATGAACACAGCAGGCCAAGCAGCAACAGAGGAGCTGCTTGGCCTGCTGTGTTCATCCAGCTCTACACCTTGTTATCTCAGATTCTCCAGCATCTGTAGTTCCTACTGTCTCTAAATGAGAACACAGATGAGTTTTGCTTCTAGCATGAGTTTTGTGTAACTAACACCTTCCTTTAGAACAGACTACTTGGATCTGATCATCACTGGTTCCCACTTTCCCAGAATATCCAGATCTGTTTCGACCTAGGGAAAGTCAGGAGCATGTATGAAGAGATCAAAAATGCAACAAGACCATCAACAAAGAAAATTGTTCCATTGAAAACAATGGCAGGGGGGTTCATCAGGTCAGGTCATCACTCATGGCAATAAGAGATGAGTGGGACACTAACTTGAGTTCAATTTCAGGGAGACCAAGAATGCAGCAGACTTCACAGGAAGCCTCACTGTCATGGAAAAACTGTATACTGAACACACATACTAGAGGAATTTAACAAAGCTATTGACTTGCTTGTTATGTGCATAGCTCCAGATGCTGGTGCTATATAATCTGAAACCATCAAACATGGGAAACCAGCAGTCCTGCAGCATTCGCATGAACTTCTCTGTCTTTGTGGAGGTAAGAGACAGTACCTCAGGCTATGTGTGATACAAAGGTCATGACCCTGTAAAAGATCAAGGGCAACGGCAGTGATTGCAACAACCATCAAGGGCTTGTTTTTGTACTGAGCATTTGCTTGTTTTGCTTTTGTCAGACTGAATATTCTTGCTGAATCATTTTACCAAATCCCCTGGTGGTTTCAGAACTGAAAGAGCTGGAGCTGATATGATATTCACAGACTGGAAGCTGCTGCAGGAGAAATACTGTGAACAAAGAAGACTGCGATGTATTGCCTTCATTGATCTCACCAAGGCATTTGACCATGTGAACAGCAATGGACTATTTAAACTGCTGGAGAAAATTGGTTTCCCATTGAGGTTGCTCATTGTGATCTCCTTTTCCCACAATAGCAGAATGGGTGAGGACAACATTGAAAGCTTTAGACACCCGCAGTCAGGTCAAACAGGGTCCTAGTGTCAGCATTCTTTGACATATTCTTCTCTCTATTGCTGTCATACATCTTTAGATTATGTACAGAGGCTATCTACTTACCAACCAGAACAGATAGAAAACTGTTCAGCCATGCTTATTTGAAATCCAAGATGAACATGTGCCAAGTTCTCATCAAAGAATTGCTTGACATTGATAATGTTACACCAGAATTCTATGCCAAACACTTCAGCAACAAATGAACACGGTCTTTCATACCTGTGACAAGTTTTGTTTGACCATCAGCATCAGGAAAATACATATCATGATTCAGGATGTTTTCATATATCAGCATTGACAATGTAACTCTGGAGGCTAAAATAATACAAAGAACTGCTGATGCTGGAGATCCAAAACAAAAAACAGAAATTGCTGTAAAAACTCATCTGTGGAAAGCATCTGTGGGAAGAGAGCATTTTGAGCCTGATGACTCTGCTTTCTCTCCTCAGATGCTGCTAGACCTGCTGAGTTTCACCAACACTTTCTGACTCTGGAGGCTTTGTTCGCTTCACATACATAGGCTCTACAATCACCAACAATCCATCACTTGATGCAGAAGTCAACACATGCATCACAAAAACTGTTGTGTCCAATCTGTGTGTTAGAGTGTGGAACAACAGAAACTCGACTGAGTTCACCTAGTTATAAATCTGTCAAGTCTGGGTCCTCAGTGTGCTCATGTATTCTGATGAGCCTGGGCAATATATGCCAGACAGGAAGAAAGGCTGAACAGTTTCCACCTTCACTGCCTTAAATATCTCATTGGCATTTCATGGCAGGACAGGTTCACGAGTTCAAACGTCCTGCAAGTCTTTATCCATCTATTTGGGAAATAATAAATACTTGTAAGTTACCAAAAACCGTTCTGTAATTGTGTAATATGCTGTTAGAGCAATGTGAATCAGTTTAGTCATGTAGCACATTCTGTCTTTTGAATCATTCAATATACACCATATAAATAAAAGTTGAATCAGACAGTGAACTTTTAGTTGTGAACAACAAGCCTCCATTTACAGTTGGAAATAGGAGCAGGCAGATTGTAACACAATGAAGGTTTATATAGTACAGCTAGACTGTATAATTGGTGGAAGACTGTTCAGTGTTGCATACTGTCATTAATCCATGAAAGATTAGAAACCATAGGATGTAGTTGATCAGCACATCAGCACAATGTTAAACTTGTACTGGTCAGTTGCAATACAAATTCTTAATCTAGCACATTCTGGCTGTTGTAGCTTTTTAAATATAAATTCAACAAACTTATAAATGAAAAGAATGCAGGATATTATGATGTTTGATGTGTCAGTACATTTATTTATTTATTTTAAAGCATGAACAGAGTGATTAGTTTTCATTTTTCAGAGAAACGTAGGCACAGGTTAAGCCATTCAGATTTTCAGCCTATTTTGCAATTTTATTAGGTTACAGCCGATTTGTATCTATCTCCAACAACTTAAAAAAAATATTGATTTTAGTCTCAATTTTCAATTGACCCAGCGTCTACAACCTTTTGAATATGAGAATTTCACTTTCACATTACCGTTTGTGTGACAAAAGTGCTTTCTGATTGCACTCCAAGCTAACCTAGCTCCAAATTTAATTGTGCCCCTCTGTTCCGACTTATTCTTCCAGAAACAAAGTAGTTTTTCTGCATCTGTTCTATCAAATCCCTTTTCACTTTAGACAATTTTCATCCATCTGAACTCAAAGGAATACAGAACAGCCTTGGCATCATTTTGGTGAATCTGTTCTCTCCATTTGAAACCTATTAATTCTTTGATGTCCATAATTCAATATGGTATTCCAGGTCAGTTATAACCAATGCTTTATACAACTGAAGTACCATGTCTTCACATTTGTTTTGTAACCTTCATGAGGTTATGAGCTACTTTAACTTTTTTTGCAATAAAAACAAAGCGCTTTCAAAGCTAAGCATGTCAGGTAGCATCTGTGGAGACAGGCTTAATGTTTTGAGTTCAATATGACAGGTACTCTGTACTTGCACACTGAGTTATTATTGATTTGTGTATGTAGATGAGGAGAAATTTTCGCACAGGAATTCTGTTCTAAGAGAACAGTGAATGGCTGGATGGCTGAATAAATTCAAGGCTGAGTTAGACAGATTTCTGATCGACATGAATGTCAAGGGTTATGCAAGGCAGACTCGAAAGTGGAGTTGACATCACAGTCAGACCAGCCAGAGTAGGCCTGAGGGACTGATTGGCCTTCTCTAATCTCCAATCTTTGTATCTCTGTGGACACATAAATCTCTTTGCTCCCTTTGTAATTCCAATTAATGCTTTATATGAAACTTGTGATGGTGGTCTGTGCATCACTGCTCAAAGCCTTTTAAAGCCAGGTGAAAAAGTTGAGAATTGACAGATTACATGGAGATATGAACGGTTAGACTATCTGAAGGTGCAATGTAGAAACACATTGCACTGACCGTACAGATAATGATGGAGTGTTTTTCTTTCTAATGAGAAACTGCTTATAAAACCTTACATTTTGATGCTTTCATTGCAGAATGTCCCTCCAGATCTCTCTATCTGTACCTTTGTGTTGGAGCAATCCCTGTCTGTTCGGGCTCTTCAAGAGATGCTGGCAAACAATGAGGAGAAAGCAGAAGGGGCAAGTAATCAAAATAGTTACGGCGCATTTAATGAATGGAAAATTTTGCCTCGCAACGTTTCTAGATTTTTTTTAACCTATGTTTCCTATCAACCTGTTCAGAGATGTTATTACACAACTCTGGAGGAGGTGCAACTTGAACCTGGGTCTTTCTGCCCAGGGGTAGGGACACCACCACAGCATCACAAGAGTCCCACAAAATTTCTTGCTTTATACAAATGCTAATCTCAGTAAGCTACACACAATCTGAAATAAAAATAAAAACTGCTGGAACTCCAGCAGTATTTGTGGAAAGAGAAACATAGATATAGTAAAGTTCCACAACTGGTGCAAAATGATAAAGATTGGCAAATGCAGCAATACACTGCAGTTTACTATTTACAGTCATATGACCCAAGCTTCAATAGTGGTCATGTTCTACATTCTGATGTAAATGTCTGATCAGAAAATCCAGTCTGATAAATTTAATTCATGTCTGATGCAACAGTCTTCAGTGAAAAATTTATTATATTTGTTGTAGAACAATACCAATTGGTATATTGAGACATTTGAATCGGCATTAATATGATGTAGAGGTGCCACTGTTGGACTGGGGTTGACAAGGTCAGAAGTCACTCAACACCGAAATCACAGGCTTTTGAAGCGCTGCTCCTTTGTCAGGTGAAGTGATTTCACTTGATGAAGGAGCGGTGCTCAGAAAGCTTGTGATTTCAAATAAACCTGTTGGACTATGATCTGGTGTTGTGTGACTTCCAGCATTAAAAAGTACAAAAACATTAGTCATAATTACATTTCTCATGGAGCAGAATACTTGGAAATATGTTGAGTATTTCCTTCCATGTTATCTGTTGCTGTAAATGACATTGTTTTATTGTCAATAGAGGTGAACATCATATCTCGGTATAAGTAAGTGTTGCATGCTGTAACCTATTTTCAGGCCTGGAGGAATCATAATTATCTACTTTGCAAGTTCAGTAACTTTGTGCATCTGTGGGACACCCCAATTCCTACTGTTACTACTAGTGTAGATAATAATGTCTTTACAATTCAAAGCTTCTCTTCTTGAATGTTGCTGTTTCATTTTTTTTTTCAGCATCATGTTTTGTTCACTTGACAGACTTTGCTTTAGTACACTGCAGGGCTAAATGTATTCTGTAACCAGTCATAACAGATCACCATCTGATATTTATGCTCATTGTTACATGAGGCCAGGTTTTCCCAGATCACCTGAACTATTTGATTAGCTAAGTTTTTTGGTTTAGTTTTCTTTTACAGACACAAATGACATATTAACTTCAGTAGATTTATATTATTATACAGACGCTTATGATATAAATATTATTATGTTGTATGATATTTGGAGGCATTAACCCATTGGTACTTAAAGGCTAACTGAAAGATGACATTTAATTCTCTCTATGAGAATGTCACGATCTGTGATTTCCAGGACATATCGTTTAAAATGATTAATTCAGAAATTATTATTCAGAGTGCCATGTAGATGAATATTTAATGCATTCATAGAATCCCTACAGTGTGGAAACAGGCCCTTCGGCCCAACAAGTCCACACTGAACCTCAGAGCATCCCACCCAGACCCATCCCCCTATAACCTACCTAATCTACACATCCCTATGGGCAATTTAGCATGGCCAATTCACCTAACCTGCACATCTTTGGACTGTGGGAGGAAACGGGAGCACCCAGAGGAAACCCACGCAGACACGGGGAGAATGTGCAAAACAGTTTTCACATTTTCAACTGAGGCCCATTCATGCTGCTGTACTTTGTTTCAACTGTGAGGTCTTGTCTTTGTTCTAGAAGGTTTGAGGGTCAGAGATTTGAGCACAAAAGGTCTAGTCTGCTCCTCTAGTGCAAGATTAAAGTGAAGAAAGGGGAGAGTGTGGGAGCTGGGGATTAAAATTTTCCTTAATAAATAAGAACAAATCGCACCTTGAAGAAAACATATCCAGACCATTCACTGCTTCCCATGAGTATTTGAAAACTGTACCAAACTTAGATGGTTCTATCTCATAAGCTTGGTAAGCAATAGCCTGACATACTTGTATCCACTATATTATATCAATGAACTTCTCTGGTTCCCTTCCTAGTTCATCAGATTTTCCAAAGTTAGAGGTACAGTGTTAACAATCAGGTTGGAGTAACCCTAGGAGAGTAAAACATTGGCTGGATGTAATCTCTAACCTCCGGGCCCAACGTATATCTCACTGCTTCATCACCAACTCGGCAAGTGACCAAATGGCATACTAGGAGCACCAGGAGGCATATTGGAAAGTGCGGAGCTAACCTGGGGATACTGAACAGAGCAGGTCAAACCTGCAGTCCTGACATTTTCAGTTGTTATTGGCCATTGTTAATTAATAGTTCATTAATGGACAAACAAATAACTAAAAGGAAGAGGTATTTACAAAAGTGTTGTCATCCACAATTTTGATTGAATGCATCAACTGAATGCAAAGGTGAGACTGAACCATTTGCAGAGAAACTTCCCTAACATTCAACTGTATTATTAATGCTGAATGTCCTGTTGTCAACATCCTGTGGGGTACCATTAATCAGAAATTCAGCTTAGCCAGCCATGACTACTAGATCAGGTCCAAACCTGGGTATTCTACAATAAATTACTCGCCTGTCCCCCGCAAAGGTTTGTGCGCCAGCTACAAGGGAGACGTTAATAGTATTGAGGAATACTCTCAACTTGTCTCAATGAATGCAGCTGCATACCAGTCAACAAAATCTGCTTTATTACCATGCCATCCACCACGAAAAGCATCAACTCCCTCCAGCACCAATGTACTTTGGTTGCATTATGCACAATCTATGGGATGCTCTGCAATAAATATTGCCGTGTAAACCTTGTACAAATACTGTGGCTACAAGAGCAGATTAGAAACAAGGAGTCCTGTGGCAAGTAAGTCATCTGTTGAGTATCCATTAATTCTCTACCACTGAAGCTCAGTACAAGTAGTGTACGCCATCTACAAGGTGCACTGAAGAAATTCACCAAGGCTCCTTAGGCACCATCTTCCATGCCCACAATAACTATCATCTACCAGACAGGGGTAGCAGATACGGAGGAACACTATCAACTGCAGGTTCCCCTCCAAGTCACTCACCATCCTGTCTTGGGTATATGTCACAGTTCCTTCATTATCATTAGGTCAAAATCCTGAAATTCTGTCCTTAACTTTATTATGGGTATATCTGCACAAAATGGACTGCAGGGTCCAAGAAGTCAGCTCATTACCACCTTCTCAAGGGAAGTTAAGGATGGGCAATAAATGCTGACCCAATCAGTGAAGCCCACTCTCCATGAATGAATAAATAAAAAAGAACAGACCTACCAAGGAGTATGAATACAGTAAGTCACATACTAAATTAATCAAAACTGTTTTATGAACCTCAGCTTAGTAAAATTGACATATGTGCGGTATACAAATTATGGTTCTAACAACATTTATATAAATGATTTGGATGTGAGCACAGGGGGTATGATTAGTAAGTTTGCAGGTAATACCAAAATTAGAGGTGAAGTGGACAGCGAAGAAGATTACCTCAGAGTACAACGGGATCTTGATCAGGTGGACCAATGGGCTGAGGAGTGGCAGATGGAGTTTAATTTAGATAAATGTGGGGTGCTGCATTTTGGAAAGCAAATCAAGGCAGGACTTATACACTTAATGGTAAGGTCCTGGGGAGTGTTGCTGAGCAAAGAGACCTTGGAATGTAGCTTCATAGTTCCTTGCAAGTGGAGTCACAGATTGACAAGGTAGTGAAGAAGGCGTTTCATATGCTAGTTCCGATGTGCCACAGCGAAAAACCATAATGACCTCTTCAGATACGTCCGATAGGGTATCCTTTGCCATCCAGTACTTTCTGGGAGCAGAGAAACTATGCCATGTTCTTTGCAGCCTTCAACAAATTATTGATGACAATAAGCACCTTGCCAAGATCTTCCCCATCCCTCCACTTCTCGCCTTCAAACAACCACCAAAACTTAAACAGACCATTGTTCACAGCAAACTACCCAGACTTCAGGACAACATCGACCACAACACTATTCAACCCTGTCATGGCAACTTCTGCAAGATATGTCAGATGATAGACACTACCATCACACTTGGGAACATTACCCACTGCGTGCATGGCAGATACTCATGTGACTCGGCCAATGTTGTCTATCTCATACACTGCAGGCAAGGAAGCCCCGAGGCATAGTATATTGGCGAAACCATGCAGACACTACAACAACGGATGAATGGACACCATGCAACAATTGCCAGACAGGGATGGTTCCCTCCCAGTGGGGGAACGCTTCAGTACCACTTGGATCTTCAGGGAATGTGCTCCAAAGCAGACTTTGGGATACACTACAATGCAAAGTCGCCAAGCAGAGGCTGATAGCCAAGTTCGGTCCCCATGAGGATGGCCGCAACCAGGATCTTGGGTTCATGTTGCACTACAGGTGACTCCACCACCCTAAACACACACACACAAACACTCACTCGCTCTCATACACACATACACACACTTACTCTCTCTCCCCCTCTCTCTCACTCACACACACACACAAACACATGTGCACACACACACATGTGAATCTATGGGGTGAATTTGTATTTGCAGATACATTCTATTTTGGTTTGAAGTCAGACTGGTTTTATTTCTAAAGTATGAATTTATAAAATGCCACATTGATTCTCTCTCACATACACACACACAGAAACACACACACAATAAATCTATGAGGTGAATTTGTATTTGCAAATAGTCTATTTTGTTCAAAAAGCACACAATTTATATACAGTCAGTCAATGTGGCATTTTATAAATTCCTACTTTAGAAATAAAACCAGTCTGACTCCAAACCAAGACACAACCAGATTCTAAACAAGGTCTCGCACCCAACATGTATTGTCTGACCTAAAATGTCACCTCTTCTTTACACTGATAAAGCCTTTATTTTTCTCAGGATGGAGACTTCA